AAAATATTTTTCTGTCATCTTCGTTATTATTACATGATCAAATAATTCTTTCTATTCTTTTTTTTTACTATTTGGAGTTTTGAAGCTTTATAATGCAAAAATATAATTTGTCTGTGAATCATACATTGAGTTTTTTTTTGAAATTGACAGAAGGGAGAAGTTTACGTTCCTTTGCTATTACCACTACAGGGCTATATAACTTTTGTTCTATTTTATAATTATAATTATGTATGCTACTAGATATAGTATTAGGGTACTGTTTCAAAAATTATAAAATAGTATTTATCCAGCTTTTATTACAATTTGATAAGGATTATCGATTATAATAATCTCCAGGTCTTTGTTATGAGGGTAATATAGTAGGATACTATAGTCAGTAGCATTTAACAGTTTTTTATTGTCAGATTACTTAACCAATTAATTTCTTTTTTAATTTGTAAAACTTCAATTCAGAACTCTTATTTAGTTAATAAAGCAATAGATGATATGGAACCAGAGGATATTGATAGTCTATCAGATTCTATTGAATTGGTGTCTGGACTTACATTTCAAAATTGGGACAAATTTGAAATTTGGCTTCATAAATATGTGATAAAAGAAGGTTTTAGCTATAAAACTAGAACTAGTAAATATGATCAAGATATTTTGAAAAGAGCTGTATTTGAATACACAAAATCTGGTATCTATGATTCAAAAATAACAACTGACCTGACCAAACGCTATAAAACTTCTTTCTTCTCAATAGATTAAATGCTTCTGGAAACTGAATGCTAATTGTCAAAAAGCAAATAATATTATCAAAATTACTTCATTTACAGATAATCACAATCACCCTCTTACCCCTATAATTAATGAAATTGCTTCTTAATTTCGCAAACTAACACCTGAAATATTAGACAATATCAAAAAATATGTGATTCAAGGTAGATTGAACTTTTCATCAATATATCCTTTGATAAAATATGATTATCCTAAACAATATTTTCAGAAATATGATTTGTACAATACTATTTATAACTTTCGAAAGAGTAACAACCCAGGAGATACCAACATATCGTTGATATTACA